TATCCAATGGGAGATGAGCACAGGGCTCAGGAAAAAGAGGTGATGATTTTTTTTTAAATTTTCATCGATTGCGTTGATTTTTTTACTCTACAAAAAAAATCAAAATAACGACATATTCAGTATTTTATTACAGATATATTTTTATTGTTTTTTCACATTTAATTTCCTGAGCAGTGTTTTATTTCGTATTTTTTTCGTGTATTTGGTTGTTACTCCAAAAATCTGAAATTTACGTGACGCCGGATATAATTCAGGGTTTCTGAAGCTCAGAAGTTTCCAGACGAGCAAAATTATTTGTGAAGATGAAAGAGAATGTGAGAATGTCGTTACCTTCTGCCAGACGAAGACGTTGTGGACCATCGCACAGCCACAGAAGATTATGCCCAACCCGATAAAGACGCTGGTCACGATGGCTGGAGTCGAGTGGAACTGGATGAAGGTGTACAGAATAATACCTGCACGGCACAAACAAAGCAAAACATGTCAGCAGTAAATATTTACGAGAAGAAATTACCGTCTCTGAATTGGGATAAGTACGCGGACGTTGCAGCTGCAACGAACAGGGTTCAGTTCGCACTATCAACTGTTGATTCTCGTGCTCTCGAATGTTTCCGGGCTCCAGTGCTAATTTTTAGCCTACACTCCTCGTTTTGCAGTAATTTTTAAGCAGTTATGGGTTTTCATGAAACATTCCATAACCTCCTTTCACGTAATAATTCTCTGCCATCAGTAATACCAACATTGTCAGTGTCTGACCTTGAGAGATGCTCCCTACAATTAATGCAGCTTTTATAAAGATGTTTTTTTTTGTGGGCTATAAAACAAAAGCATAGGAACCGGGCAAAACCTATTTGTATTTTTTTGGTTTCTAGATAAAAATACAGATAATCATGCACATACATAACTAATTTTTAATTATCCATGAATTGTGTGCTTTTCTAATTGAGACGTGGCATCAGATTTTGTCGACACTGAGTAATTTACAGTCTTCAAGAGTCGATGTTTTTTGGTCGGCGTATATCGTCTGTGGAATTCACAGACGTAACAAACAACCCATTTCATCCTCTGTGCCTTAAATTCTTGGCATATCTGATCATACCTCAGCCTGTTTCATTGTAGATTTGCGTACGTACAGACGCTTGGGTAATCCAAGAGACCCTGACCTCCCGACTGCCCCTTTCTTGATTTCGCCGATCGACTTACCTGTGAGGAAGACTGGGATAGAAATGAAGAATCCGCCCACTGCACACACGCGAGTGATGGAAGATTTTTGCAGGTACTTATTCGTTCTGTGAACAACAAACATGGCGACGTGAAACAGTACGTAAGAACACCTGAGGCATAGTTTTAAGATAATATTAAAATTGGTCTTAAAGGAAAATTGGCTGTGAAGGGTTGAATTAATCCAAGACAGGGCTGTCTTCTGGTAGACGTTCACCAACGTTGCCTCTGTAACTCAAGGTCACTCGGCCAGTCCGTCTTGGTGTTGGGGCTCGTGAACACATTTTAAGTCTGGTCAGACCGTTACAGTATCTAATCTCACCGAATCTTTCGTTCGTTGTTTAGATGCAATTTTTTATGTGGGTATTTCATGAAACGATGACACAACAGTTGAAATTTTATTGTTAATCGTCAAAGCACTCATATTTACAGACATGGATTCTCCTGTACTGTACTGTTTTGTAGTAAATTGAAGAGAATTAATCAATTCCGTCAACATTATTGATGATCGGATCGTAAATATAGCACGTGAGACTGATAAACAAAGTAACATTCGGGATTACCACAACAGCAGGGAGTTGTATATCGACCCAGAGGTCAGTGGTGACGGACACACCAAAAGTATTTGAACTGAGGTGTGTGTTGTGCAAAATTCAGGATGAATTTCAAGGAAAGTGGCATTCTTGTTTTGTGAAACATCTGTTTCCATTACGCGCACGAAAATTAGTACCTTTTCAGAACGTCTTCGTACTTCCTTGTGGTTACCAACGCGCTTAAATCGAGGAGTAAGTGGAAACTAGGAATACAAAATATTGCTTGTAACAATGACGACTGTTGTAAAACTTTAAATTACAGTACTTCGTGTGCATTGTCATGAAAATCGTCCCTCATTACAGATATAACACGGCATTGAGTCATGTTTCACGCGTTCAGATGTTTCGAGAAGTCTAACATCCGTTGAGTAATTCTTTTTTTTTTTAAATCGACCACGTGACGTCACAGTGGCGCGTTCATGAAGTGGCAGTAATGCAAACTGCTGGCCGTAGATGGCGCGGCGGTCGGCAGCAGCAGTGAACCTGCGTTTTTCAGGTCTCTTCTAACTGCACGTACAAGAATTATGAACGAAAAAATGTTGCGACCTCTCCTTCCGCATTCTCTACACGAGAAGCCACTGCCACGCGGTCTTCGCAGACTCGGTGCAGCCGGACTTTATAGAAAGGTTTCCTCCACTTCTTCGTAACTTTATTCGTCATCCTTTGAATACGGAACACAAAGCATTTTGCTTTCTCAACTTCCGAAATGAACGCAATTTGAGAAAGCACTGAACGGATTTCGACAAAGTTTTGTACTTGCATTACAATTTCGTAAAATATATATCCTGTGTTCGGCAAGAAGGGTTTCAAACAGTATTCGAACTTACGACCGCCTTACGGAGTACTGCTTAGACTCCTGATGCACGTAGTAAGCACCTCTGAAACGTCGGTCAACTTCTATTAGACTTTTTTTTTCCCCCAAAGTTAACGGCACTGTAAATATCACGCCTCATACAACTGTTTTGTTGTATAAATGTTCACCAGGCCTTTTTTTTAAAAAAAAATGAAAGCTGCATATCTTGTTACGTGTATGGCGAGTCATTTTCGAGATATCGATATTTGTGATATTTCAGGAGAGCAGTCGCGTCTTTGACCCAGCAAACGATCTGCCGTAAACAGTTACTCTCCGGGACTTCTGATTGGTCCGCCGTCAGTCGTAGAACAGCTCAGCCAAACCAGTACAAGGTATGCCGATGGTTGAATACTAAGTCTGAATTATTGAGGGTTTTTTTTTTACGCATGGGTTAGCAACGGAGCTTTTAGAATTCTACGTTTCGTTAACAAGAACTCAGTATTTATGTTCATAAACGAAGCAACGTGATACAAGAATTTTAACCGAATAAATATGATAAATTTTAGGAACTGAATCTGATTGACGTATTTTAGCGTAGTATCCAGAGTTGATTGTAAATGTTTGTTTTATACTGGGGGGCCTACAATGAGCAGCGATTTCGTGTTATTTTAAGCATAATTACAACGATGTGGATAAAATATTAAAAGTCCTGCACACTAGAATATTAACGATGACGATAATAATAAATGAAGCCTGTTTCGCAACCAAAATTCTACGTGCGTTTTCTTCTGTGTTGGATTATTTCGGGGAATGTCTTTCGGGACAGGACACGAATTAAAATGAATATCTAAATGCATAATTAAGTGGAAGCCGGCATAATACTCTCTTAAGCCGAAGGTCGTCTAAATAATATTTTACGAATTCAGCCCCTACCGCGAAGAAAACACTACACTTCACCATTACAAAGATCGAAAATCATATTTTACGAATTCAGCCCCTACCGCGAAGAAAACACTACACTTCACCATTACAAAGATCGAAAATCATATTTTACGAATTCAGCCCCTACCGCGAAGAAAACACTACACTTCACCATTACAAAGATCGAAAATCATATTTTACGAATTCAGCCCCTACCGCGAAGAAAACACTACACTTCACCATTACAAAGATCGAAAATCATATTTTACGAATTCAGCCCCTACCGCGAAGAAAACACTACACTTCACCATTACAAAGATCGATTGGTTAACGCTGTTTAAGGAAATGATCTCTGTTTACACTGAGAATCATACATAACCTATAAATACAAAATGAAGAGCTTCTGATTGTTGGAACAAGTAAAACATTTCGTTTTCATGGGCTTTGTGATAAAACACGTGCAGACTTGCGTCCCTCCGGTTGCCTGAGCCTCGTATCCGTGCACATTTGCGTATTATATTTCGCCACAAACTGCACGAAGAAGAAATTGTCGTTGAGATGATAATAATCTAAGAAATATCGTTCCCGTTCTTAATCCAGGGACGAACGGGCACTGCTCCTAGCTCTATTTTCCATTGGTCCCAAGAATAAGACCTCAGTTTGTCCCGACATGTCGTAACAATCGAAGTTTGTCGCAGGTCAGTGGAAAACTGCCACGGGCCAGAAAGTAACGGCTATCCCGAGTGGACACGAACAATTGACAGCCGCGAGCAATCTTCAGGGTTCAGATTAAAATTCGCAGTTGCAGACTTTCTCAACAATGGCTTCCGTCGGTCTCAAGTCTTCGTGTTTAGCGTAAAACAACAAAACTTTTGAATAAGGACGATAATTGCGGTTGATTCAGGTGGCCTGTGGTGGTCGGCTACAATTTCTTGTTCCGGTCTGGTCATTGGCTTCGCGGAGTCTGCGTGTGTTCCGACAATTATCGTCTCCCCGACTTGGATCTGCTAGCTTCGGGGGGGAAATTACGTTTTGGCCGTACAATCCAGGGGTGAAACGAATGCATACAAGAGCTTCAGAGGTTCGTGAGGAAATTAGGACGCGAGTTAATGCATGATTGTTATTATTAAGCAAACACGCAATGCGCTACTCTTGATTTCTAACACACGTGTGCGCGCGCATGTATTTTTTTTTTTTCATTGTGACTCTCGCGCCCCGCCATGAAGACTTGCACCCTCCTGCCATCTTCAGGCATTTGTCCTCACCATTTCCCATAAGCTTTGTCCTTCATTCCACGCCCGCGTCCAACTCCACAGAACACAGTTCTTCCTGAGAAACCTGACAGTAGCTCGTGTCCATTTTAATAGGTCCAAATATTCTCATCAACACTTCGTTCTCGTCCTGTGTTTGCAATTAAAACCAGAAATCGCTCGCTCGGAGATTTTCACCAGCTACGTGGCTTAAAGCGTCAAGGAATCTAAGGGAACGTATTCATCGCCATTATGAAACAGAACGTTTTTAACTACAGACGTAGCCCAGAGTTTGTGAACGAGTTTTATAGTCTGTAGCATGGAAAGGGTTGAACAAACGAATAAAAGACAATTTATTTAATACGTCCAGACGATCGTGTGTCAGACAGACACTTTGATTCAGCTCTGGGCCCCAAAAGAAACCACGACCTATATTCCATTCTTGCATTAAACCGCGCAAGATGGACAGACTACGTTAAGGCCTCAGAAGTTCGACTTAAGAGTACTGTTTTCCAACCACAGTCTCCTTGAAAACGTTTTATAGGCGATGACTTAATAGCGCTGAGATAACGGGATGAAAGTCATTCGGTCTTTAACCCTTTCCATGTCACGTAAATTCACTTGTTCCAGTCTTCTTCTTAGATTTTGTTATCCTCCCTTCCTATTTCGCCGGCTTAATTTTTTCCACATGTAAGGAACGTTTCCCCTCTCTCATAATTTCCTAAAAGCACATTCGGAATTAAGAGTATAAAACCGTAAATATTTAAGCAGACCTCCTTTCATTTTTCTCGAGGGAAACCGCACACACTCGGAAATAATTTTGCGTTATCTTTCACATCATATTCTCCACCGCCAGTGGAAGGTCGGGGTTCGACTCTCAGCAGGGGCTGGGTTTTTCTCGTACGACCGATTCTCCGAGGCATGTCCAGTGGCTAACGCGGCTGGAGCTTGAAACTGACGCCGACCACCACTTCGCGTTGCAACAGTTTCAGTGGTCAGAACGCCCGGCTTTGCCGAACACCACGGGGCGCGGTGGGGCAGAGCGACCTTGCCAGTTCAAGGTCTGCAGCCAGTTGCCCGCCACCGCCCACACAAAGCCTGGACCACGACCCACAGCGCCACACCACACGAAATTCCACAGCTGAAACCACTCCTTGTCCCTGTGGTCATCGTCGTGTTATTTATTCTAAGTTTAAACTTGTTACGGCATCTAACCATCTCTTCCTTGGTCTTCCAACTGATCTTCGTCTTCCAGAATCCATTACGGTCGCAGCTGTGAAGACAAAATGTCTTCCACTGCTGGAAATCAAATTGTGATCATACATTACGTCGCTAATGACATATAAACCGAGCTCTGCCATTGGTTCCCAGTCCGGCACGGGACCTTCCGGAGGAGACTAAATTCCGGAAATGCTCGCTACTTCTCAGTTCACTTTTGCTTCTCGCATAGAATGAAGTAAATTAGATGGGTAAGATACATAGCACGCATGGAGGAAATTATAAACTAACAAAAAAATATCTATTAGGAAATGAGAAAGGGAGAGACCAATTCAGAAATACAGCCATAAATGGGGAAAATAATATTAAAAATAATAAGAAAAGCCGGGTGTTTCGGCGTAGACAGAATTTTGTTCAGTGGCGGTCTTTTGTGAGTGCGGTGACGAACTATCGCGTTCTACTAATCGACCAATTTCTTGTTCACGTGAGTAGCTCCGATCTCTAAACGTGATATTTCAGGTTCTCACGGCTACGAATATGAAGATGGCCGCCTTCGCCGACGTTGCGCGGTGTAGTCTGATCGACGTTTCAGAGGTGCGTACTGCCTCCATGATCAGGGCGATTGCCATCTCTTTTTTTTTTTTCCATGAAACATGCAACAGCATCTGTGTCCATTGAGATGACGTCAGCGTTCCTTCAGTTGAAAACACGAAAAAGTGCCTTTTGAAAGTGAAACAAGAATGGTTTGCAACTTTGCGCACTGAAGCAGCTTAGGGACACCGCGGGCTGCAGCCGCCTTCGTTGAAAGGAGAGAATCAGTCTCGGTTGGATGGGTCGACCCGCGGTCCTTGAGCGGGGAACAAAAACGGGTTATACCTGGCTGGGAAACAGCTGGGCGCTGTGGCTTAGGTCGTGGTTAGAAGGGGTTTAACGTATCTCTTCTGGCCAAGTAGTGCTGGTGGAGGAATTTGGGGAGTCTGCCTTGTTTGATAAAAGTACAACGCCACCCCCCCGATTAAATCCGCAGTCCTCAGTCACACGGATATAGTCCCCTTTTCCGTAAATTCCGGTTGGTTCTGGACAGGTTCTTAACAGTTTCCGTGCTGTTTAATGTAAATAACCTGATATCTGTTGGAGCATTTCCATGGTAACGTAAAAATTCCAGGAGGCTTTGACAAGATGACGTAACTTGTATACAAGACATCCGAATGTAACGACACTGACAGCTTATCAAACACTTGATAATTACTTTTTCAAGAAACCTTAATTTAGATTTGCCACTTATCTGCAACATTCTTTGTCTTTAAAACTGCGTTTAAATATGCTAAACACTCAAAGAATGCCAAGAAATGAATGGCAAAGAAGTCTTGAAGCTGGAACGCTGTCCTTCTGCGTGAAACATCGCTCTACTACGCACCAAAGCTTCTTAGTACGCAAAATTTCTGGGTGGGTGCTCACGTTTGCGTTACAAATTCTTTCGGCAGAGAGTCTAAGGGGATTCAACACGCAGCCGATGACAATGGACCAGCACCGAGATCAGAAGAAAGGGGCAGACTGGAACTACAGGGTGTTCACTCCCCTCTGTCACTCTTGAATGCCAAGAGAAGTTCCTCAGCCAATATACAAGTGAAAACTTATAACTCGACTAGATCTACCAGCTGTCAAAAATTACTTCTAGGGCCAAATGAGTACCTACTTACATTACGTAAGAACAATTATTGTGGGAAATTGATTAAAAGTTAAGCTGAACGTAAAGAAAATACAGGATTGTTCAGTATCCCATGCTCAGAGCCAACTGCGTCGTAGCTGTGCAAATGCGTGGCGGATTCACGACCAGAGCGTGTGTTCTTCATTCGCATCGGAATCGTCTGCAAATGTTCGTGAAGCGTTCGCCAGTGCGCGTCCTGACTAGGAAGTCGCCGAACGAGACCGCAATATATCAACTGTTACACGGAGATTACCAAAGTTCACAAATACTGACGTTGTCAAGAGTTGCGGTGCAAGTTGAACACCCTGTATTTATCTAGGATCGGACGTCCTAGAAGAGTTCTTCGCTGACATTTAAAGAAACGGTGACTGAAACAACATTTCCGACGTTACTAAAAAGCATCAGTGTGTACGGAATGTGGGGTGGATGCAGCTGGCTCAGGATAGGTTCCAATGGCGGGCTTTTACGAGAGCGGTGATGAACCTTGGAGTTCCACGAAAGGCGGGGGATGTATTGCCTAGCTGAGCGTAATATTTTCTTCCTTAAATAAAAAAAAATTCATTTCAAGGTCATAGGTGTAGCTGTCAAGAAGAGCTTAGTGATTGCGTTTTGGTTGGCCGCAGGGGGTGGAGGTCGTATTCCTCTGCATTTCAAGGTCATAGGTGCAGCTGTCAAGAAGAGCTTAGTGATTGCCGCAGGGGGTGGAGGTCGTATTCCTCCACTGAGGTCCACCCAGCCTTCGATGGATACCGGGTGCTTTGCCCCCGTAGCCAACACTTTCGGCACCTGAAGCCGACTATCAGCCAACTGACTCACCTCTGCCCGCCTTGAGGGGACTTAACGAGCTTCACTGCGAACAGGAACTGAATGGCACACACCAGGAGGCAGCACAGGTTCAGAGACAGTGTTAGCGCGCACAGCGCCAAGGTCACCTCGTACACGACTACGTACTCGTCGGCCGAGATGATCGTCAGCTGCTCTGTCCGGCGCAGGTCCCGCATGTCCGCCGTCGTCATCGGCGAGATCTTGAGCAGGAAGACGAGAGACAACAGAGCCAGGAGCAGGGACACGAGGCACAACAGGCCCAGTGACGTCAGCATCTCCCTGATTCCAGCCTCTTTGGACCTGGTCATGAACCGGGACACGTTGGCTGGAATGAGCGTGCTTCCACCGCTGTGACCCCTGGATATATGCAGACCGCCATTCGCCATCTTTGGCGGAGTCACGACCTGGGTCACAGGTCCATTCATCGTTATATTGTTCAGAGTCGCGTTACCGCCAGGACTCGCTCCACTAGAATTCCCTAATGAATGTTTCGATGTGCTTAGGGTAGACACATTCAAAGCATGGGAATGATTTAACCTTTGCGAGAGGTTCAGCTGAGGTTGGTGTTGAGACAAAAGGGTCGGACCACCGCGAAGACGGCCCCCGTGAGGGCCAGATGACAGATCGGTCACCACGACTATCCCGTCCGGCTGAGTTCTGGCCACAGGATGGAGCCCGCTTCCGTTCATCACCGCTGTGGATGGTGGCGCCACTGTTGTCAACATATGTTTCAACATGGCGGTCACGACATCCGAAAAACCCGGAGACGTCTCGTGACGTCATAAGACGTCATCCACCCAAGTCTGTTGACAACACACCACAATGCAGATTAAACGAACCAACGCGAGGGACACCTCACGTCATATTTCGCATCCGTGGTCATTTCCCTCGTGGACCAGGGCTTAAAGTATTGGTGCACATACCGGCCAGCCTCACCCTAACGTGTTTGCACAGCATACTTGTGATTTATTAAACAAATACTAAAATAATGTCAAATTAAATCGAACTTCTAGGCACAGCTTCGACGCTCATGCAAGCCACAAGACACTCGGGCCTTCAGTTCCATTCCGAGGCGTGTGAACGAACATCCACGCGCCCAAAGTGCAATGGTCTTCTGTCCTGGTCGCACTTGCGTCTTCCAGTTATTAAAGGAACAGGCAGAAGACCCTGAAGTTCCCTGCTGCAGGACCTGGGGGACAGAAACGAGACAAATATAGTCAAAGTCACCTGACCGCATTACCCCTCAGTCCAAAGAGGACGTGTCGCTTGGGGAGGGTATCGAAAATGAAATCCTTGCACCTGCCGCTGAGTGGCCTGAAGATTTGCGTGTCCTAAAACCCCTCGCCGATGGCAAGACGAAGGTGCCCAAGGGCGTACGCAGTTAACATTTATCACGACCCAGGTTGAGTGTTCCTTCGCTATGCAGTCCATGCAAGAACGCATAATAAGATTGAAGTTGTGTGTGTGTGTTCGCTTATAGCTCAAGAACGGATTTACCAGTTACCACCAGAACTGGCATGCTCATTCCTTGAAACCAGAAAGGAATTTTAAAAAGGTCAGAACTCCGAAAAGTGTCCTGGGTTCGAGACCCGGAGAAAATGTCAGGTTTGGGAATAATAATAAGTTTTTCTTTGATGTTCAACATCAGACGATGACGCCTGTGGTATCGCACTAGGATGCCAACGGGAAGCCATGGCGCAGCTGCCAGCATCTCGGCCAAACTCAATGCATTAATTTAGTAGTCATATATCGCACTTGGCATCCGTCTGGCAGCGCTTCCAACTTGGCATCGCTGCCAACCAAGATGCCAAGTTAAAATGCTACTGGCATCGCTGCCAAGGCCAAATCAACATCACATGACAGTCTGGCCAGTCCATTGACGTCCGCGCGTGAATGTGCTTGTGTGTATTTCTGTTTCTTCCAAACGTGGATAATTTCGACACCGAAAGATTGATAATTGATGTGGGATTCATCTGCTATTGAATACGCAAACCGGGACTTGAAAAAAAGAAACTGGGAAGAACTTGTGGAAATATTTGGAGGAGATTTATTTACAGTAGAAAAGAAAGAATTAGCTAAGAAGTGTTTCTATGGCTTTATTTGTGGGGCCGCTTTACAATATGGCAACTTGATTTATAAGTTTTTTTGTTTAGCAATCTATATATCTATCTATAATCACAAATAATGTGAATTAAGAAGAAACCTGCTTTTATAATGTTTTATTAAATAAATTTGTTCATGTAATATTACATGTGATTTGCAAGAACTGAAATATTTCAAATTCAATAATGGTATGGACGTGCAATTTCGTGATCTCATAACGTTGATCCATCTGTTCGCTCGACTGGCGTCGAAAGCTGGCAGCTTGTCTGGCGTCTTTTTCTGGCAGCTGGACGCCATGGCATCGCTGTTGGTGTCGCTGCCATGGCATCCTAGTGCGATACCGCCCTTAATGGCAATGAGAGTTGATAAGAAGTGGAATTATTTGTCGAATTTATCCACAGAAACACCGCGGGCATTCTGTCGGTATGCGTATGCTTATGAATATATAAATTGTTGCAGAGTCTGCAAGCATCGCGTGTTTCCTTCCTACGGCTTCAGCAGACAACCTGAAGGGACGACACGAATGTGTAATAAAGATTTGTCGGAGAACTCGGGACATTTTAGGGGTAATTTTCGACAAGCTGTGCGACTATTAGCTTCTCAAGAACGACTGTGTTCCGCGAATGATGTCTGTTGCTGACAGGGCTGTTCAACGTAGTCATAAACGTTACTGCTGACAGAGACACGATCGTATTACGCTGCAAACAGTAATAAACAAATTATCAACTATGCAACATATCGGTAATTTTTAAAGTAAAACCTTTGACCTATTTCGTGTCTTGTGCATATTTTACGAGTGCATTCTCATACACTTCAAAGCACGCGTTTGAATTCATATCGCCCTACAATTTTTAAAGACACATCAAATTTTACCGAAATCTGCAGAGGGTTTTTTTGGGGGGATAAAACACGCAGATAGACTGACAGACGTTCGTGACTCACTATTATGCGCTCAGTTGCTGCCCAGAATGTGACGTTGGTACGTCCAAAACCTCAGCAGAGGGCTGCCTCCCGCCCCCACACAAGCAAGGTCTTCTTCCATCTGGCTGTACAATTCCGAGTCTTGGTCTAATTAACGTCGCACTTTGAACAGTTACGTCACGAATTTGGTCACAGTGCCTTTGAAAGAGAAGAAAAAGACCTTGAAGAGACGACAACATTGAAGCGGATCTTCAAGAAACAGAGCGTGACATTTGGATTATGCTGGCTCAGAATAAGATCCAGCGGCGTTTGTTTCGGACACGGTAATGAACCTTCGGATTCCGTAACTGACGAGGAATTTATCGACTCGAGGAACACCGTCGGATGGAGTTACTCGGTTAGTCAGTCACGTAAATAAAGAACGTCGACTTTAAAACTAAAAGACAGCATTCAGAAGGGACGGTGAACCTTTTTTGAGTTCTGTCGCCGTGACAGGTTGTGACTCGGTACTAAGAATTAACGCACTTTAAACAGATTTGCGCTTGCCGCGTATTTTACAAGAAAAACTTATTAGGTAAAATAGAACTCTCTGCTAAATCTCTTGCACAGACGGTAAGATAAGATGAAGATGTCGCTGCCAAGGAACTTCTTATAGCTAAGTTTAGGTTAATACCCCTTCTGTACCCCGGCACGCGATTTGCCATTTAAAAGATGCGTGTGAAAACCTCGTTCTAAGACTACTTTTTACGGACGTCTTCGTAGAACACGTAAGTTCCATTTCGTAGCATTGACATTAATTTCTCTGCAGAAAATTCAAGAGCTTACAAAAATTATGTACGACGTTTCCATCCGTCCGTGTCTGTCCAATGAATCCACTGGACGGATTTCGATTAAATGTGGGTGACTGTCTTCAGGGATGTTGCGCCGCGAAGTGTGGTAGAAACTGATCGACATTTAAGTGGTACTTGCTGTCTCCATCATCAGGGCTGATCGCCCAGAGCAACATCTTCGTGAGAAACTGAAATCTCACCTTCGGTTAAATTTGGAGCAGACGTTGACCCAAAAGGGGAGGGGGAAAATTTCATTTTGCCTCTCAAGGCCTTGTCGTCCAAGCTGATCCCTGTTTCACTCGAAGCTCGTGTCGACATGGAACATTATGGCATTTCTCAAAAACGACTCCCCGTACAAAGATATTTTGTTTTCAAGTAAAACTTTTTTTATATGGTGACTTTCGGACTTGTAACTTCACGTTACATAAAAGTACATTTCGTAAATTCTTGAGCAGGACTGTACATAATTTATTGCTAAGATCATCCTCTGAATCAGACGGAGTGAATCAATGAGTGGGTGGGTGAGTTTCTGGCTTCAATGGAGCCACTGAAATCGTGACTCAGGATAGGATCAGGTCCAGTCATGAGGGCAAGGTAATGGAACATTTTGGTTCCGTAGAAAACGAATAATTTCTTGGCCATCTGAGCGACTATTAGCTTCTCAGGAATTCCCTCTGCTGCCGTGCAGTTGACTTTGTGTTATCCTCGTTGACCGGGCAAGTCTGCCGTCGAAATTTGAAGGCGGTGTCGTGAGGTGGGTCCTCGGGGCACCCTAGAAGGCACTTTGCGGTCACCACACGCACACACGCGGTGTTCCACATCTCCGAGATCATTGAGCAATGTGTGAGACGTTGTTATAAGCGTAGGATATGTACGAAAACACTGAAGCAAGTGGGAAATTGGACCCTTGGTTCTCATTCCTTATTCTGTGTTAGCAAACTTATGAAAGATCCTTCATACTTGAACAAACAAGAGTTGAAAGGAGAGATTTAATGTTGTCATGACGACGAGTCTTGTGGAATGTTATGCCGTGTACTCTCAGTGTTTCGCTCTACCGTCATGTTCGTAATTGCTGAAATATTTCTTCGTATCTTCCCGATCTGTTTCAATACAAACGTTCACATGTCTAGCTACAGTGTATCATAGCTGAGTGTCACCTTACAATGAAAGTTAAATAGAGCCTAGTTTTCGCACGCCGTCAACAAATTGTCTTACATCATACATAGGATAAAACAAACTTCTCAAAATCTGCATAGTTTTCGAAGACCTGTCGTCACTAAAATGTTAGGATCAAATATTAACTGGCATCAGTTTATACCCCACCACAGGAGTTCGCACAGTTATAATGCTCTGTATTATTAATGGCACGAAGTTGCAGGGTACACAAATTAGCTGACGTGTAGAAGGATGGAACGAAGTTGCAAGGTACACAAATTAGCTGACGTGTAGAAGTATAATATTTAGATACCAAATTTCATGCAAATATGTAAACATTATTAGGTCGGGACAAGATGATACCGTAAGCCAACATTTTCTTATGAAATTAAGTAGGATGAGAGGATAAGTAAGCTTCATTTGACAGCATTACAGTGTCATTCATGAAACTACTTTTGGCTCAAGTGATTGACACCCCTGCTTCTTACTCAGGAGGCCTCGGGTTCGAACCTCGTCCCACAATTAGCCACCCTGACGTTGTTCACTGTTTTCTCAGTCCCTCCATGTAAGCGATGTTACAGTATCTTAAAGTAGGCCACAACAGCTTACTTCCACATTCTTTCCAGTTCATTATTCGCGACAATCCTGCCGTTCGACATTACGTGATGTGTCCAATCGAAGAAAAGCAATCCGTAACGGGATGTGTGTCACTTGGAAGTCTGAGTGTTGCTTAATTTTATCGCATTCGGATTAAGGTATAAGAATTAATTGCCGCCTTCAAGTTACAGTTCTGTTTTTATGCTCTGATTACTAAAAACTCTGGCGAAATCAGGCCTTGAAACTAAGGGAACATTGCGAAATCGCTGTCTACGAACTGAAGTCGGTCCACCCGACCGCGTTCCACATTCTGGCAACTGAGAAGGCACGCAATTTCACCTGCGCTCAGTACATACCAGAGTCTCGCAACGTTCAGCAAACATCCAGCAATGCAAATATCACTGCCAAGTCAGTTGCTTGGTGTTGCAAGAGGACGGCCTCATTTCCACCCCCACCCAGATGAGTGATTCTTGAAAAGCTGATGGTAAGCAAGATTATTCAAAAAATCCCCCTCCCTTGATGGAACCCTAAAGTTCGTCACCGTGCTCACAAGAGCCCGCCATCTGTCCCTATCCTGAGCCAG